CTTGTCCCTTCTCCTTTCCCTTGGGGTCCCCATGAGGAACTGGCTCGTGGCCCTGCGCCTGTGGCAGGCCCAGGGCAGGGGGAAAAGCTTTGTGCCTCCCAGCTGCAGGTGACAAGAGTTGCCCTCCTGGGCAGGCGCGCTCAGGGGGTCTGTAGCCATGAGTAGCAGCTGTGGGACAAAAAAAGCCCCAGTGGAGCCCCGTGGGGTGGCCAGAAATGGGTAAGATGTGCTGTGCGAGGCCGTGCTGGGGGACTGTGTCGTGCCCGTGCGAGGCCAAGGCCTTAGGACGAGGCGGGTGGTTGCAGGCTTTGGCAGCAGGGCACATGCTGGGTTGTGGTGGCTTCAGTGGGAGGAAAGGTTGGGGAGGCCCTGTAGTAGCTCTGAAATCAGGAGAGAAAGCATGGAGCTACGGGAGAAAGCCGGTATGGAGTGTTACTGTGTCTGTAAGGTCGGGGGGACATCTGCAGTACCACACTGTTGGCTTGGGCAAAGGTTGGGCATGCAGAAGTTCAGCTGCGTGGCTGGGCTTAGAATCCCAGTTTTTGCTCTTCCTGGAAGGTGGGAGGAGGCATAGGTTGATGTGAAGCTCGTGTTTCCTCCTCCTAACAGTAACTATTCGAGGGTTGTTACACCTAAGATTGAAGAAATCAAACATTTTAGCTGAGCATAAAAGTGTGGTGGTGTTTTGTTTGTTTGCTGTGTTTTTTTAATTCCCAACACCACTTTTGTTAATTAAATCCACATTTAAAAGTCGGGGAGTGTGGGGGAAGATACTCTAAAGCTCTTCTGATCTTTGCGTGTACAGGAGACCATTCTCCTGGTGTTCATCTCAATTTCTCAAGGAAGAGAGGGGGACCTATGCAAACTTTGGGTTTAGTTGGCTGATGCTTTCTCTGTTCCTTGCCTTCCTCCCTGAAACCTCTGCCACTGTGTTTGACAGAGGAGTGGATGTTCCCCAAAATAGCCACATTTAGTGGGTGCACGTGGGCTGAGAGAGACACTTATTGCCCTTCCAGAAGGACAAAGCTGTAGTGTTAGCTTACATCCTCTAGGATGTAAGGGAATGGATCTGAGAGCAGCTTTAGCAATAAATTTGCCAACGGTGGAAAATACCCGTTGAACCAGAAGGCACAACCCAATGTATGTTTGGAATTTGAAATTGTGATACTTAGTGACAGTTCTTTTGTTATTATGTGATTGTTCAGTGCTTGTGGAAACAAAATAATTTTAAAATGTGAGTTCTAGTGGTCTGTAAGTCGGAAGCAAATAAGATGAGGAAATAATGCCCCAACTATGAGACCATGTTGTGGAATTTGGGAGACTTGAATTCAGCTGTGTGCCTTACTCGAGACTTCCAATGGTTTTGAGCAAGTGACTTTATTTTTTTATGCTTCCATTGCAATCTATAAAAGGAAGAAAATGTCTTTATTACCAGGAATATTGTGAAGATAAATACATTAAAGGCATTTTAGGGACTCTGCTTACACAAGTGGAATTGTGTAAGTACCTAAAACATAGAGTGGAAATACAGACTTGCAAACTTCTGGATTGTTTGCATAATTCCTGACTAATTTCATGATTTTTGGAGCCCTGGTCTTTTGAACAGCATTGCGTTAATGTTTTGAACTCTGTGTTCACTGTGATGTTATCTTGTACAGTTTCTGTTTTTAACAATCAAGCACTTAGGTCTCACAAGGAGTGACAGTAATCTTCCTTTTGGCATGGATACATGAATTCTGACTCTTTGTTTTGACTTAAGAAATTGTGCGTGTCTTCCTTGTCTGAGAGCTGAGCTGCTGTACCCTTTTGTATTCCTGCTGAATACTCAATGTTGAATTCAGGGACAGGTGACAGCAGCAAATCGTGAAGATCCTGTTTTAGGCAACAAAACATAGGAAACAGAAGTCTGTGGAATTTCCACAGACTAGTTCTGAATAAATTTCAAGGCCTGTTTACAATAGGAGGTTATTTTTTAATCTAAAAGCTACTTACCAGTCTTAAAGATTAATATTTAAAGATTAGGGAAGAGGCTATGGAAGGAAAATATTTTTCATTTCAAAAATACATTTTAAATACTTGTAGCTGCTATTTTTATCTGTTTGTGAATCTTTGTCTGCTGGGCAAGATTATTTTTTTTAAAAATGGTTGCAAGCATTGCTGTGGAACAGTTACCTGAGAACACTCCTGACCAATTTCTTAATGTTAGCTAAACACTTCCTGCCCTCCTTTCTAAGTTGAGAATTTCACTTCTTGTGCGGAAGGATGATTTTTAGTAAAATTCCTTTGTAGTCCACACTCAAATTTTAATGATGTATAACTGCTTAAGAATTGTGTTTACATTTTCTCTGTATAGAATTCTGCTTCATTAAACAGCCTTTAAGTAATCCCTTGTTCGTTTGGAACACCTTTTGCTTGTTCACTTAGGCTTTTATGTTGTAGGAAGAGATTTGATTTCTGCCCAGGAAGATCTGGCTTGAGCACATTCATATTCTTTCAGCGTGCAAGAGCGATTTGGAGGTCAAAAAACTACATCTACTTCCACGTCCACAGTGAGGACAGGCATTTATGCACCTCACACTTGCTCTGTCAGGACACACAGGAGTTTCATCTTTGTATTTTACTGGAAATGTCTATGCTCTTAGGGTATTTTTACTTTCAATCTATTATTAAGCGAAAAGTTGTCACATCATGCTTGTGATCCCACGTCTGACTAAAACTTCTGTTCTGCTGCATAACTCCGTAATGAGAGTAGAAACCCTCACAGGATAAGAATAACTTTAAGGTGTCCTTTTATCAGTAGAGTCACAAGAACGCGCACAAAAGTACTTGCAGCTTTTTTCATTTCTGTTTTACCAATTTCAAATAATTGAATGTTGTACAATAGTACACGTCTTGCACTGACCACTGATTTCTGTATTTTGAAGCTGAGTCAGGAAATGACCAGTTTCATGTGATAATCCAACACATGGCATAGACAAAAAGGAAACCAGTTGGACTGAGAGTTTTCCTATTTTAGAATAATTTCAGTGTTTAAAAATTCAGCTGACTAACAGCTAATGATTCTGTATGGCATCTTCACTCACTAGAGAAAACGTGGCTTTTGTGTGTCTGGGATGGGGCCTGGCTGGGTGCTCCTTTCCCAGACTGTAGCTCTTCTGACGTTTGGGAAAAGTTGTGTCTGGATGCATTTACCATGTGTACCGTGGCGCGTCAGTCACTGAGCTGCTTTTGGCGTGCATGCCTGTCATGAAGTGGCAGAAGTTGTACCACTTCTTGGAAGTCAAAGGTTCAAGTCCCATGAATGTCTTTTCTTATGTCTTAAAACCAAAACCAAATTCCAAACCTTTCTGGTTATATAAACTCTGCTGTTTTCTTTATGGCTGAGAGGCAGATCTGCTTTTGGTCTTTGTTGTGCCACTTTGGTGTTTTCCCCTCGGTATTACACAACTGTAAAATTATAGCTTCCCCCCAACCCCCCAATAATTCTAATTGATGGTGTGGTGGGTTTTTTTTTTATGTTTTCATGTAGATGGAGATTGTGTAAATGTATTGGTCTTGATCAACTGTGAGGTTGTAGAATAAAATACATACTTCCTGGAGATAGGAAATCTTATGTTGTAGTAATTGAATGATATTTGTGCATGTTGTATTTCTTGCAGTACAAGTGCTCTCCCTTCTTTGTAAGTCTACTCCACACCCTAACATACCTCAGTAGTGGATGCTCTGTAGTCAGTAAGATGTAGATGAACCTGGAAGTGTCACTCTTGGAGCAGCAATAGTGGTAAGAGGCTTAGAAGACATGAACTGTGAGTAAAGGCTGAGAGGATTGGTTTTAGTTAATGTAGGAAAGAGAAGATGGTAGGAGCAGGAATAGGAAATAGGATAGTCTTCAGACATGTGTAAGGGTGTTACAGATAAGATGTGTAGACGTGGCGCTTAGGGACATGGTTTAGTGGTGGAACTGTCAGTTAACGGTTGGACTCGATCTTAAGGGTCTTTCCCAATCTAAATGATCCCATGATTCTGTGGTTTGGTTTATGGACATGTGATCACTTATGATAAAGAGTAGGTAGAATTTCTAATTGTGCAAATATTTAGACATTTGAGTGAGCAGCAGAACACAGGTAATACTGTATCATCCACTAACATTTGATCAAGAAATTAAAAAATTCTCCTTTAGGAAGAATTTTCTGCGTGAACATATTTTGTTTAATATTATTTTCCATTTCATCTTTTTCTGCTGTTCATAGCTTAGGAGGTATTTCTCAAGCTTATGTCTCAGATCTAACTTTCCTGTTTGATCTTGAGTCCACGACAAGTCTATTTAAGGTTCAAGGTGGCTGCATCTGGATTTCCTTTTTCTGACTCTTGTCAGAAGTTCTGGATGGACAAATTTATTGAGCTTTCCTGTAGGAATGTCATAAACACTCTTTGGAGTAGCTTCTTTTTGCCAGTCGTCTGCTGAAGGAGACAGAGTTGACTTTCTCCCTTGGCTTTGATTCACACAGCAGCCAGCAGCTTTCTTCACCACTTCTCTTTCTCCCTCTCGTGAAATTTGTGGCAGGCTGTTTTTTATAGCAGAGTGTCTGATACCTCCTTCTTCTGAAACATCTAGAGCTGAACATCTAAACTGTGTTCATTATAATTAAAGCAATTCCTAATTCTTGAAACAACATGCAGTGTCATGTATAAATATGGTAACTATATGCATTAGGAAGACTGTTTGTTTTTTTAATTAAGATTCCAAAGAACTGTTGGAAAGCTGTGAAGAATAGTAAGGCAACACAACTCTCTCACTCTTTTCTCTCCGAAAAGGCTGGTGGTGTGACTGTGTGCATATGTTTTGCTCTTTCTGCTCAAAATACCTTGTATCCTATGAATAGTTAAAGATTGTTGCAGAAACATCTTTGGGTTTACGATAAGAAGTGTAACTGTCACAATATAGGCTTTTTGATAGCAGTGCATTTTTTGGTTCACTACAAATTTATTTATTTCAGAGAAATGGCAGAAGAAAGTGTATTTCGGGATGTGCTGGAAATCCTGAGGAACGCCTCAAGTGAAATTGAGCGGGCCTATAAGGACTCCTGTGAATTGGTAGATCTAAACACCTGCCTGCTGCTCATAGCAGAGTGTTTCAGATGTCTGAGGAATGCCTGTGTGGAGTGTGCCAAGAATCAACATGTCATGAGGTATAGTTATGATCCATTTTAACCCATACAAAAATATAACCTTCTGATGTTTGTGTGGTTTTATAGAGAGATTCTTATTTTACACCGCTGTGTTAGTTGATTTATTAACTGGTATTTCCTGCTTGATGCAATCACTTGAAATGAAGTATGCAAGAAACAAAAATAGCTGACCTATTTGTAGGTCAGAGTTTGGGGCATTGATGAATAATAGAGCAAAGCGTTTGTGTCCTTAGTATGTGTTGATTATGCAAATGATAGAAGCCTTTTGGAAGTCTGATTGTAGAACTGTCCTTTTTTTCTCTTTCTTTTTAATTTTTTGGATAACATGTAAGCAGTCAGTTATCTGTTACAGGATTAGTATGTTATTTTAAGGTACATTTAGATCTGTTTGGCAGTTGTGGCAAAGCACAGCATGTAGAATTCAACTCTGGTACATATACAAGTAAACTGATATTAATGGATAAGAAGTTAGTCTGACTCCTTAAGTTATTTAACCTCTCTTTTTTTGCCTCTGTCTGTTGCAGCATTGAAGGGATGCTTGGGATACAACTAGCTGTAGTTACTGAAAACCTGGTAGTCTACCTGCTGGTTAAAAAAAAAAAAACAAACCCAAAGCAACAACAAATATCATCAGTCCCTCCCCCACCAAGAACCCGTACCCAACCAACCAACAAAACCCCCCAAAACGTAGCTACAAGTCTGTTAGATAATGAAGAATTGTGGAATACAGTCTTGAAATTTGGTTTCTTGGGACTTGTCAAATTTGGTTTATTGAACTAAATATAATTTTTACAGGGGACCAAGTTGCATCTTCTGTGCTAGGGCAGAATTTTGTTAATGCCACAAAAGTTGCGGGACTTTTATAAAAAGCTATTACTTTTAGAATAAGGTAAAGTCCAGACTCTGTTAGTATCTGGATGTACTAGCACTTGTGATCATGGTGTGGGTCAAGGAACTGATTTGACAGAAAATTTATATGCTTGTTTATAAATTTTTGCTGGTAGATGTTCAGCCAGTCTGGGTTCCTTATTGTAGCTCACTGTAGCTCCCTAGTGACTCGTGTTAACAAAACCTGGGAGGAACAGATTGCTGTGGCTGGGAGTTGGCACAATTGCCCTTTTCAGTAGCATGACAAATACAACCTTGTCATGGCTATCTGAATTCCATTAGAAAGTAAAATTAGTGGAAGATGGAATAATGAAATTCAGATATCCAGCCTGCTCCTGGACAGGAATGAGCTCTGCACTGGTTATACTTGTGCTGTGTGCTTACCCTCACTAGGCACTTAAACAGAGCCTTGCTGGTTTAGGAAGCTGGAGGCTAATAATTGTCCTTTAGCCTGCAGGAGGGGGAAGGCCTCTGTGTAGAGAAAGTTCTGACCGTGTTTCTAACAGGATTTGGTGGGTCACTCAGCGGATGCAGTTTTGGCTTTGTAGCAGCATAATAATTTATGCTCCTTTTAATACGGTGCTCCGTGCTTTGAGCCAGCTCTGTATCTGCCATCTGTTTGTGTTGATTTTAAACAGTTGCAAATGCACAACTTGTTTAGGAAACAAATGTCCTGAATGATCAAAAGTTGTGAATGGAAGGGAAATGAATGTGCCTTTGATGTTGGTTTGAAGTGTGCAGCATTCAGATATTCCAAAAAAGCACCTCCAAACTACAGATTGTTTGATCCAAATTGAAACTGATTGTTTCTAGGAAAGAATGTAAAGATTGTAAGCACATGGATTGTGTGACAGCTTTTAAACTACTGGGGAATACAAAGCTTTGTTCCTTCCAGGGTCAGGTTGTTTTGCTTTGTGTGCTGTGGAGAAATTTGGGGTCTGAAGGGATGGAAAATGTTTTAATAGATTGTATGTATACCAGTGTGCATGTGTGTATTATATATTTATAAATGTATCTTTGGCTTCTTTTCCTAACTTAATGAGGAGTGTGTCTAGAAAACATCTGCAGAAGACAATTCCTCAGCATTCACGTGATGAAATGGTATTTTTAAATAACTCGTGCACGGGTGTGGAGGTTAGGTAGAGAAGGTATTGCTGTGTTCTGAAGTTTCAGGCACTCCGTCTTGGCTGATCTCAGAAATCTTGACTACTAAAGTACAAGCATCGTAAAAGCTGAAAACCTCATCTGTTTATGCTGTATTCTTTGAGTTTTGTTTTTTCACTGCTGTTGCATACACATCCTTGCACATAATGTTGTCTACCTCCAGGATTGCTGATCTTTGGCCGTAGAAGTATTTTGTTTTGTTTTGTTTTTTTCATTCCAAATGGCTTCACTGATTTATCATCACTGTCACCATGTTTTTCATGTCTGGAAGGGTTCAAGGCCAGGTAGCATGGGGCTTGAGCAACCTGATCTAGTGGAAGGTGTCCTAGCCCATGGCAGGGGTGTGGGACTGGATGATCTTTAAAGGTTCCTTCCAATCCAAACCAGTCTGGAATTCTACCTATGATTCCTTCTCACTGGAGAAAGGATAAATGATTGCTAGACCTTCCCTGCTTCCCTCTGAGAGTTTTGTTTTTGAACTGTCCCTGTGGTTCATTTGATGGCCACCCCTAATCGCTTTGTTGATATTTAAAATCCTCAAAAGTTTATTCCTAAGTACATTAATGCTTTTCCTGAGCACTTGAACTTCAAACAAAGCAAAATTTTTTTTACACAGATAAAGCTGTTTAAATTACAGGAAGAACCTGCTAATTTTTAACATCTGATTCAGAGGAATGGCAAAAAGAGAGGAAATGGTACTTAGCTCTGAGGTACTGTATCCAAAATTGTTAATATGCGGGTTGATGCAGTAAACCCCTCTGTTTTGCTTCTGATGGTAATAGTGTGGCTACTGATAGTCAGGCACAGTTAACTAGGAGAAACAGCTTTTTATTTTAGTTTCTGAAGATGTTAAAGACTTGCTGTTAACTTCAGTAAAAAGCCTTTTCACTTTATTTGAGTGTATTGATATCAAGGGATTTTTTTTTTTTTTTCTCCCCAATTTAATAATAGGAACTTAGGCCTCATCTCCACATCGGTGCATTTAATCAAGTTGCTTGATGGAATGAAAACCAAAGAAGAATTGTTATTGACCGGTAAGGCTGTGGATTTTGTTAAATATGTAGCCTGCACTGTAATTTTTTTTTTTAACAAGCAAAAGTCTTGTGGTGGTGTGATGTCACCTTACTAATGCATTTTATTTTGTAAGCAGGAGTAATTGTTTCTTGAATTGCAATTAAGAATTGGGGGAGCCTTTTCTCATGCTGGTTGAACAAACTCTCATCCCTTCTCTTATGCTGCTTGAAAAAACTCTCATCCCTAAGTCTAGTCCTGTTGCATTTTCCCTTAGCTGTTTTTTGTGAATTGTTAAAGAAAAGATATGTGGAAACTTGTTTAAACTTAACCAGAATATTTGAATTGCAGAAAGGAAAAGTTCCTGTAATACCTTCATTCAAAATATGCTCTGCTGTTTTACTGTCTTTTTATTTGCTCTGCAAATGTAGTGAAATGGAGAAAGACTCTTTATTTTGATGACACTTGAAATAATTTATATGATTCCAGGAAACAAATTTTAGCTGTGACTTTTTAAAAATTACTATTTTTTAAATTTTAATTTTAATTTCTGTACTGTAGTTGCTGGCCATTTGGGGTAATATCTGCCAAGAATTAAGTACTAATTTGAATAGTGTTCATATTTCCTTAATGGATGATTTTTTTCTTTTCATACAGTGAAGAGAAAAATCTGCCTATGGTATCCTTCCTGTTTAATGGCAGTTATTGCTCCAGATTTCTACCAAACTCATTTCACTGGATATTAAGGCATTTTCAGTAATTTTTTTCACAATCTGCATTTCCCTGTGTGTGCATGTGGAGCTTGATACAGGGCATTGGACCCCAGTCTTTACTGTCTGTGGTTGCACAGAGTACGGAACATTTGGTTTCTCATGTTGCTTTTATTTCGTTTCACTCCCATTACTTGGATGAGGTTTTTACTGGGTTCCTGTTGCTGCTTTTCTATCATTTTGTTAAAGCAAGTGAAACTACTGTCATACAGTAACTTACCCTCAAACACCTTTATGAAGCTGGGAAAGAGCAGTGAAGTCCAGGATACTGTTTTTCCTTTTGCTGCTATATTTGGCTCAAAATAAAGCCTTTCAGACATGTGATGGTATTATGCTTAAGCCAAGTTTGCTCCTTCACCCGTTGCTGGAATCCTTCATCCAGGGCAGGATCAGTGATGCTAGCACAGTCCTTCAGTGTGGGAGGACCAGAAGTAAACCATACGGGGGGTAAAAAGAGGGCTTGATCAATTCCAGGATGGTTTGAGTTGGAAGGGACCTTAAAGATCATCTAGTGCCCCCTCCCTGGAAGGGTTCAAGGCCAGGTTGGACGGGGCTTTGGGCAACCTGGGCTAGTGGAAGGTGACCCTGCATGGGGTGGGGTGGGGGGGG